TCATTATGCAGTGTTTGTACTATTATATTTTATTCATTTTTTTTCAAGATCCAGGAACTTTTCTTATATTTTCTTTTTTTCCAATATGTCACTGACTTTACATTATGCCAGAGGTATAATAATTACCAGTGCATGTTGATTAGCTGCATAGCTTCATAGAGTATCAAATTGTTTTGTGCCTCCATTTATCAAAATAGGAAGCAAAAAAGGATGCCCAAAGAATTTTTCTTCTTTTTTTTTTATTTTTCCATATAAAGAATGACTAGCTCCTACAGAGTAAATTTTTCACAAGGCACAGTGGGCTGTCCCAAAACCCAGGGCATATAGGTCTTTCTTCCAGGATTGAATGTGAAAGTGACTGTAGAATCCATCCTTCACGAGAGCTACAGAACTCCCAAGACAGATTTGAGTCTTGGGGCACTATGGAATAAAGACATTTACACAGATTAATTGCCCTGGCAGTCTAAACAAGTAGAATCTGAAATAAAGAATGTTGCTAAAGTCAGCCTATCTTATTATTTTCTTGCACTTAAAATCCAAATTAATGACTAACACAGGGTTAGTAAGAAAGGTACAGAGAGTTATAATGAGTGGATAAGGAGAATAAGCAATACCTTGAGCTGACTCAATTTGTGGATGATTGATTAAAATTCTTGACAAAAATATATTTCTATAAGTAAAATTGTTACTACATAGTTATATAAAAAACACTGGGCTTTAAATGAAGAAAGACAAAGATTCAAATTCTGGTATGATTACAAACTAATAGAACATTCTAGGAAAGTCTTCCTGAGTTTATTTTCAAAGTTCAGTGTCCACTCTCTCACCTGACATAGCATGTGTTCAACATTTTCCAACTTCTCCTTTTTATATGATTTATCTGTGCTGTATTCTCCAAGGAGTTTATCAATAGATTTATGAAATTATACATAAAATGATGAAATAACCGGCCTTGATTTATAAGCATTGATTATATACAATTTCCAATGATCATTATTGTTGAAAAGCCAATATTGAAAACCAATTACAATAAACTTGGGATGGGAACACTGGGATGTTTTGGAGGGAAAACTACCTAAACTGAACTTTGTGGCAATCCATGGTTTTTGTTTCTTTTGAAATATATATGATAAAGGAAGTTCAAAGAATCGATTGCATAACCGATATAACAATGGTTGATAAATTTTTGTGATAGTGAGCAAACTCCATCTGGCAACAGAGACTGAAAACAAATGGGAGAAAAAGACACACAAGCAGATCTTATCACATGGAAGATCTAGAAAATAAAGGTAAAAAGTATAATCAGTCTGTTTAATCTTTGGAAGCCCCAAAGAATTTGTTCTAAAAAATTTCAGGAGACACAAATAGTAATGTCCACTTATCCTAGGATCCACTCTCTGGGAAGATTGGTCTCTTGTGAACTACTCATCCAGTGTTGGAACCGGGAAAATGTATTTATAAAATCTGATTTTAAGTACCTTCAGTACTTTCACTTTTCCCCACATTTTTGGCAGAATACTGGACATAAATATCTCATCTGAAATGGGCCCACTTTATAAGTCACTGCATTGGGTTACCCTTTTGCAACATAAGCATTCTGAAAGAGAATGAATATTCTTGGTAAGGAAGAAAGACTGAAGAGAGAATGAGACAATTAGAGAGAAAAAGAGAGAGAAGAGAAAGGAGGTAAGAAAAAAGAAAAGAAAATATGAACTAAACAGGAAGTAAACAGAGATAGTTTTCTAGAGAAAACAAGAAAATAAATCTGGTTTCTGTCATATCTCCACTTCCCAATCCAAGTCTTCCTAAATTCTTCCCCCAATGTTTCTATCTTGGGTTACTTCATTATACTTTGCACCTTTATATTGCATTGTTTATTTTCTTTATTTTACTCAGAATAGGACTTTGTGAATTGAAATCAAGAGGCCATTAACTGAGATAGTAATGGTGGTACTGTGTAGACTGGGTGAAATAGAGTCAGACAAGGAAAACCAACTGGAAGATGTTTGTGAAGGATGAAATGGAGGAATCAGCAAAGCCCTTGATCAAGGAAAAAGGGCCCAGTGAAGAAATATTAAGGAAAATATAACGTGAATAAGTGGGTGATAATGGATGAAATTGGAGAAAAACTAAAAATTTACCATGGCAATTAAGGCCATGTTAAGTATATATTACATGAAATACCATAAAGCTGAAAGGATCAATGAAGAAATATTGACTGTCTCATTCATCACTATTTACCTATCTACAAAAAAATGCCTAATGAGTTCTCTTTGCTGAATAAATATTTTTGAATATTGAAAGTGTGCTTACCATAGGGGCATGATGGACTGGAAAAGAGTTAATTTACTTACTACTCATTTTCTGTTTGAGTAATTGGTGCTAGAAAAATATAAATCCAATGAAACATGGTAAATTCTAATAGAAACTCATAGTCCCAAAAAGATAGAGTCATAGCTGAGAGTGCAGATGTAAGGTGTTTTTGTTTTTGATTTTTGATACAGGAGTAGCTTTCAGATTTTCAGAATGAAGGGTTTTGGCAAAGGAGTACTAGTTTATCTTTAGGGAAATTTTTGTTTACTATTTTATTACCTTGTTTGAAGCATCAGAACACTGTTGGGAGCACTGGTTGTTTTGTAATCTCATATGCAGTGCTTAGGGTTTTGGGGTGAGTGGCTTCTCTCTTTCTAGTATCCATGTTTGATAGTCACCCCTTATTGATGTTCATCTCCCACATCTGGAGACCTGGGGATAGTATTTCTGACACTGTCCAGGTGCTCCTCTCAGAGGTGTCGCTAGATTTGCGGGAGATCCAAAACACGAAATAAGATGCTGAGAGAAAAGCTTGGTGCGTTCAGTCCCAGGAGGCTGTGTGTCATGGAAAGTGTGTGACATATGTGAGCAGAGCCAGGCTATCAGTAGGGATACCATGCTGAATGGTAAGAATAAAGAGAAAAGTAAGAAATGAAAGAGGAGAATACACTGAAAAGGAATCTGATCATGGTAGTATCATGACTAGAGAAGAACAAGTTGAAAAGGACCATTCAGACCAAAGGATTTCAATGCTAAAATCATACATGAGCTCAACATGAGCTCTATACCTCCTTAGTTATATGTATACAGTTGTAATGGAGTCTATGACCAAATAGGTGATGTGTATCCTTAGAAACCCCTCAAGCTACTCTAGAGATATATCTATACTCATACATCAATAATTATTCATTGAATGCATATGTAAGACATTGGGAACTGTGGGAGAATTAATTATGAATCTAACAGGAGCTCTGTCTTCAAAGTAAAAATTAGCAGAGTTTATGAGAGAGACACACTTAAATTAGTTTTTAACTTCCAGTACACACTTCTACATGTGGGAAGATTTTACCTAAAGTAAGCTCATTTCTAAAGCATAGTAAAGTCTCTGTTTTATGATTACTAGGGAAATTTCCACTTAGAATGAATGAAGGCCCCAAGCCTATAGCTATGCGCAAGAAAGAGGAAAGGAAAGAATGGATAGGAAGTCAAAAACAGTGGGGTAGAAATTTAAAACCCTATTAAAAATTGTAAGAAAAGCACGGGAAGCAATTACTTTGCATGCTTCCCTGCTGATTCACAGGAGACTCACGATTAGTGTTGGCCAGAGCAGAGGTCGGCTACAGGCTCTGCCAGGCCCCTTCCTGGGTATGGCCTGGAGTTAGAAGCTATGGAAGAATTGTCTGCACCATGGATGGAGTCCACACGGTTGCTGTCCTTTTGCTGCTAATGTCTTCTAGCTCCCACAGGGCTCGGGCTGCTTTGCCTGTAAAGCTGAGCTGCTGGCAGGAGGCAGATTGCTCTCCACAGTGGAGACCAAATACGGTCTTAGCTGTTGTGACAGCAACTCCAGCAACAGCTGCATCAGAAAAGGCTCCACCCTCAGTCTTTTAAGGATAGGCTAGTGACTAATGTGCCCCCTTAAAGCCAAAGAAATTCCAAGCCCTCTGCTCTGCAGAAAAGATTAAGTCAGTGGGGAATCCAAATAATGAGAACCCCGAGTAACCATTTGGAAAATCAGAGGAAACTAAAAGAAAAACTTAATATAACATCGTTTTAAAAGAAAAAGAAAACTACAGAGGCTTAATAAATGTCTGTAACCTCTTACTGTATTGTACAGCCTTGAAGTGATAAGTAAATGGAAGAGGGAATGGTACAAAGGAGGAAAAAATATTAGATAGTGCTTGCGACTCTGTAGTGCTTGCCAACTTAGATTACAGTGCTGAAGAGCTTGGTAAAGGGGCTGGATTGATTTGGGGACTCCCTGGAATGTGCAGGAACAGGGAGATGAAGAAAGACTACCCAAGCTGGGAGGGAAAGCAGTGGGAAAAATTAAATCACTAAGTTTGCTCTTCTGGTTTCAGAATTACCATCAGCAAACACTGCAACAGAGAGTTTAAGGGGAGGGTATACACTCGAGATGCAAATGCAAAATAGATGAGGCTGGACCTGAACATCTAAAGCTGGTGAGTTCTGAAGATCCTTACTCAACTTCTAAGTTGCCGATGCTCACATCTCTGGGGCTCTGGAAACAGAGCCAGCTCCAAATCTTTGTGCCATGTCTTACCCTTGCAAAGTGGGAGAGCACAGAGGAAGGGTCCACCTCTGTATCTGGACTTTCCACTCTCCTGGTGCAGTTACTGTGCTGAAATTTTTAAAATTTGTACTGTAGTTTTTCTTCTTGATTGTTTGGGGGGGGTCTGGCAGATACACTGAAATATCATATGGTAGAATGGGTATCCATTTCTGTTTTACTTCTTTAGTGGAAGCTCAGGATTCTTTGAATGAGACCTAATAAAATATCTTTAAAATCCTCCAAGTCTTTCTCACTTCTCCCTCTTGCTTCTCTCTAGGGACTTGGCTCAAGCAACCCGTGTACAACACGCCAGTGAATGCTGACTTTCACATGGAAAGACTGGGATGAATTGAAGACCTTCCAATGTTAATCAGCTCACTTCAAGGTTATTACCACAACTAACAGTGTCAGCATCTGCAATTTCTCGGTGTATTGTAGAGTGTTGTGGGAAGACAAGATGATTAAAACAGTCTGTTCCTCAGGTGATACAGTGGAAAGTGGACAGGAGGCAGTCAGAAGAGAGTCAACCTGACTCTGCTGCTATAACTAAGGCTGCCTGCTTCTTCATTCCACTCTAGAGTAGAGCCTGTTAGCAGCCCAGGGTGGCACGGTGGGCCTGTTCTATTCTGTGACACCAACCCATGCAGCCAACCAAAACCACAGGCTCTCAGCTCAAGGACGTGCTTGGGTGAAGGTGATCACCTTCTGCCTCTAAACTGTCAATTTAAAGTATTAGGCATTAGAATACTGGGCTTAGCACCAGCATCCGTATAACACACAGGCAGAACCAAAGAAAGCTGAGGCTGAGAGGTAGAGAAACCAAAATCATAGCAGAGGCCAGTGTACAGAGAAATAAATATCGCAGGTCCACAGGAAGAAGAAAATATGCGACAACTATTTAGAGAAAGCAAAACAGAAGGTAAGAAGCAGAGCAAGAGATGTGGGAGTGGAAGCAGAGAAAAGTGACTTATCACGAGTTTTAAATTCTTACAAAGTATTCTGTGACACTTCTCACATTCTTGTCAACACATGTTTGACTTCATCTTATATATATTTTTGTTCTTTGGAACCAAGAGAATATTAATTACAAGTGTCGACTGGCATATAACTCTAGCTCTTCACTCAGCTGTAACCTAATTACCTCAGGATGGGAATATGAATATCTCTCCATCACAGAGCTCAGGAGGACACAGTTGAAGACGTTAATATGCTTGGCACTGCCTGCTCTGTAAAGGGTTGCTGTACCTAAATCTCCAGCCAAACCATTAGTGACAGAAAGTTTGAAGGCATCAGGTCATGAAGAAGGTAGAGGGTCAGGGATCTTTGGGGAAGATAAAATGGTGCTGGATACAATGGGGAAGCAGGGTGGAAAAAAAGTGAATTCAAGATGGTGGTAAGCTCGGAGTGGCACTTTTGGATGCAGTGTGGGTCTAAAGATGGAAAACGAAAACTGGAAATTTGGAGAGTGACTTCAAGATCATGTGAAGGGATTTGAACTTCAAGTTCTTGGTTTTAATATCTTTCAGGAGTATCCAGTCTATAAAAAGGGTGGTAGCTCTGGTGGTGGTATAAAATTTAACACAAGGTTCCACAATCTTTTATAGTCATACCAGTGCAACATCTGCAGTGATTTGCTATAAATTTGCAACTACGTTATTGGGGTTTATATAAATTTATATGGTATTATTTGGTATATTTTAAAATATTATCCCAGCACCTAATCCTTCCCCTCATTTAAGAATCACCACATTTGAAATGCTAGCCTCGGGAGCACTGTATACCTTACCCATTATCAAAATCAAATGCCATTACCCAAGTCAAGGTAACTCATAGATGTGATCTAGTGCAGTGTTTGGCAATAAGGGTTCAGTAAATATTTACTGAATAAATTAATCAATATTCCCTCTTAATTTCCCATGATGATTAACAAGCTTTATTAGTTCTTTTGCTCCAAGTACTCTGATTCTACGTAGAAGGAGGATGAGGGAAAAGAGTAAGTGAATGAGAAGGAAAAGTGACTTTTGTATTTCTTGAAAAATATCAGACAACATTCCAATTATAAAAGCATAATATTATTTGAGTACAATTAGTCTGTCCCTCCATTGTAATGTCCAATATCTTATGATCTGTATCACTGCCCACACCTTACTGATACACTGATACTCATTGGCCCCAAAGAAAGAAATATCATTATTACATCATTTGATGTAAGAAGAATAAAAATGAACTGTTAGAAAATCAACAAAAATCTTTATTCAAGTGATACAAATGACTCTCACTTGTAGAGAAAATGGAGAACTAAACATCTCAAAGCATTAACTTATACATAGGAAAATAAGGCAAAGATAACATATATTTGTAAACAGCGTAGAAAAAAACCACCTAGAACACCAAATTTTCCCACCCCTGGAATCCCTGTGGCTTACTACTGTTTGTTTAAATTAAGTACAGGTGCTAAAAGATGTGAACACATGGTCTTGGTGGTGGTTTAGTTGATAAAGGATTGCTTTCATTATCAACCACCTAGGTTTTTTTCCCCCCCATTAACTTTATTAGTACATTTTAGGTATACAATACAGTTACATTCATCACTGGGATCTTATATCTTTACATGAGTATCTTGGTTCTTATTTTTCCCCATTCCCCAGCCCTCCCTTCACCCCCTCCACCCTTCCCTATTTACAAAGACTTTGTTTCCATTTTTTTCCTTTTCTCATAATTTTTCTTTTCCCTTCTTTTCTTTACCCTACCTTTCCTACTTCCCTTACTCCTTCAGACATTTTCTTCCTATATCATAATATTAATTATACATTTTGATCCTCATATACACTTTTGGTTTTTCACACCTGAGAAAGTATTCGGTATTTACACATGTGTGTCCTGTTTATTTCACTGAAGAGTATGGGCTCAATGTGCATCCACTTAGCTACAAATGTCTCTAGTTTCTTGTTCTTTATCAGCCACCTAGTTCTTATAATGTCTCCCACACTCTCCCCAAAAACCTGCAGAGATAAGTATCCTGTCTTTCCTGGAGTCTCCTTTATTTTTTCTCCATCATGGTAAAAACAAAAGCCTACTTCTGTTAAGTGTTTGAACTTTGTGAGAAAATAAATAAGAAGGGTGAAATAACATTAGTGGAGAAAGTTTAAAATTCACCACGTTCATCCTTGGTGTTTCCAATAGATTTGACTCCTGATTACCTTATAGTAATAGACAGGAGGTTGGGTAGGCTGATACCTCCCAGTACTTTTTCTGGAACTAGGCAGAGATGTTTCCTCCTTGGCATCTCCTTAGCAAAGGCATTCCCTGAAGTAGGTTTCCATGCACACCAGGTGTTTGCACTCACAAGAAATGGGAATGGAATAAATCACTCTCTCTACAGTGACACTAGGATGGACTATTGACACACAGTGAGTAAAATGTTTATACTCTGAGAGGGAGCCCCTCCATGCTCAAAATTACAGGCCCTCAAATCACCACTAAATGTCTCGCCCTAGAAACTTTGCAGAGATAGATAAAAAAACAAGGGAGTGACAACATAGTAAGCAGCAGCAAATAGCTGTATTTATAGCATTGTGTCATAATACAAACATCAATCACATTTTCCAGGGAAACCACTGAAAATCCTAACCATAATATTGTCCTCCATTCGACTGCCAGATTTGCTTATAACTTATTCTTCCAAAAGCCAGAAGCTCAGATCTCAGTGCCATACAAAGTACAACCTGAAGATGAAATTGTAAACATTTTCTAAGGCTCGTTTAACACAGAAAGGGATATTTTCAGGCATCAACCCATTGATTTCAAGGTTGGTCTCTGAGTAGTTCTCAGGTATGATATATAGGATAAGTGGAGGTAAACTCCACCACCTTGATTCCTATTGGCCGTACATTAATTATCCTATTTATTTAAGCATTTAGAAACCATTATAAATTTGGCACACAGCTACTTGGGCATCAAAAGTCTCTAGAGCAGAAACCACCCTTAAGAGAATCTGCTTCTGTTTCACATTTATGGAAACTAATTTGGAACAAAGTCTAATGTTGTTTTTATATTTAGAAATGCAGTCCTTTTCCAACCACAAATCTTTAATCCACTAAACAGGCCATTCACAAATTCAATATTGTATGGTTGCCAGTTCATAAAGAGTTCCACAAAACCAGATAGTCAGGAGGTTGTGGCCTGCCAGAGCAACATATGGAGACATTGTTTCAAAATAAAAAGAAATAC